TAAGTATAACATTATAATTAAAACGTTGTAAATTTTCCCAGAAGATGGTTTCGGACATTTCAGGAAGTTCTTATCACACTGATGTTTGTTCAAGTGTTAATTTTTCCGTGAAATGTCATAATTGAGACTGACTCACGATTGGTCGACCTTGTGGCTCCATCCCTCGATCGCTTCTGCGCAGACTCTGGCTCCAAATGCGCCAGATGGCGGCGTCCATACCTGGGACGTTTCTGCTTCATTTCTAGATTTTGGGAGGAAAGTGGAGACATGTAACACAAAATACCAGACACACAATCATAATGTATTGATGTTAATAGAAATATGGACTAAAGACAACACTGTACTGCATAGTCAGACACTAAGTGAAACATACACAGCAGAAGCACGCACAGTATATCAAAACATACTTTAGTCTGACATAGTAAAACCTCAATAATCGATCCTCTCCAGTTTTGACTGAATTTTTTAGACATAGTGAAGGTGTGAGCGAGGCGGCTCATGATGCACCTCACATGAGGACAACATATCCAGTTAATGGGAGAATGTTCCCCTGGTTTTAGAATATTCAGAATCCTTTATGACTCTGCGTAATGTTCTTCTTTGTGACAGCATGAGTGTGATTTCAACATACTGATTCAATGAGAATCATTGTGATGCAGCAATATATTACAATTGTGTTTCTCTTGTCTATAGGTGCACTTTTAATTAAAAGATATTCACGCAGACTCTGACTTCCTCCCACAGTGCAAAGACATGCAAACCTAAGTTAATTAAAGACTCATGACATGTCCAGGGTGTATCTCCCCCTCTCGCCAAATATCAGCCAGGAGACACATCGATATCCTGTGCAATACTCCACATGACTAACTCCTGTTATCATTAACGCTAACTGACACTTTAGTTTTAGTTTACTGTCTCACGTAAATAAATTATTCTATTGTCTATTTGGCTCTGGTTCAGCATTTACTCCATGCACCCTTCCTGTTTTTATTTTCACTTTTAATACTCTGTATAAACTTGTATTATCTTATATTTTAGTTTTCACTTATAATACACTATATATATATGTATATTTTGTGCATCTGATTTTTCCCTTTCACTTGTTTTTTTTGGGGATGTAATAATCCGTGTTACGGAATCTTAGCCCATAAGAATTGCCTTCAGGATTAATAAAGTTTTATCTTATCAAAGCTAGACTAATAATAGTCATTGCTTTTTCTAACTAACATGTCCCAATTGCTAATGTAAGTGCTAGTGAGTTTTAAATTACAATACATATCATAACTTTACATTTTCTGACACCTGAATGCATTGCACTTCACAAAGGTTGCATTTAAAATAAATTAATTTTCTGGGGGAAGAGTGTGTTATATTAAAGTTAGACTTGCTTTAATGTTTGTAATCTATTGATTTTTTATATAATTCACATGACAAAAATGCAACTTCCTAGTTTGCAAAGGAAGGCCTCATTAACTCTTTCTCTGTCAAACAATCTTTAGGAATCTGCTCAAACACAGTTATTTACCAATGTCACATAATCCCTTAGTTTCCCTCTGTATACTCATACACCACACCATACGTTGCAATCACAACATTCGTGCTGATCCAGCTCCCTACTGTCGTGAATCTGCCTTCAGAATATTTCCATGGATACTGTCTGCCTTTTAAGGCAAGACATGACTAATCCAACCCCTTGGAGGCCCTCTCTCCTGCCCGCTAACCCCTCCTCTCTCAGTTGTATTTAAAGGAGAGGCTGCCCCCTTTCCTTGTGTAGTAAAAGGAGTCTGCTTGCACGAAGGACTGAGGGGCTGCAAGACTACGTTGTCGACATGATACCCGCGGTGATGCTCAATACTGGAGCAGAAATGCCTATTGTGGGTCTGGGAACATGGAGGGTAAGGAGGCTCAGCAGTGTTATGAATGTGAGAATACAGCTGAGTGTGAGGTTTTCCTCCTCTCATGGGCTTTTAAAGCTCCACTGATCTGTATCAACTGTATTGTGTTCTTCATGTAATGAATTAACAGTCCCGCTGCCTGAATCCACTGTTCCTGCAGTGTAGGGTTTAGACTTACTGAGGATTGTGTATGTAAGTGGGGCAATGACGTACTTTATTGGCATTTGAAAACATTACGTTTTCCCTGAGGGTAATTATTAACATGGTACTGTCCAATGACCTCAGCCTGATAGGATTAGAGTGGTAGTGGCTTTACAACAACGTGCCCTGTTTGAGCATTTCCTAATATTAAATGCTGGATGAATATTATTGTAACACCAGAGCAGCCCATCCCCTGGGACATCTGTTTATACTTGTGCAATTTCGTGTATCCTTGCAGGCAGAACAAGGAGAGGTGGGAGAGGCTGTAAAAGTGGCCATAAGGACAGGTTACAGGCACATTGACGGCGCTCTGGTGTACGAGAATGAAGAAGAAGTAGGCGCTGGGATCCGAGCAATGATTGATCAAGGAGTGGTCAAGAGGGAAGAGCTATTCATTGTCAGTAAGGTATGGTGCATGCCTGGTAATCATTACGCGGTTGTCTCCACCACAGGCTCCTCCAGAAAGTGTTGGAGAGTCTGTGAGCGAGATACCAGACACCTAACTGCCCCCGATCCTGCACTAATAAGACTATGGGTGAATGAGACATACATCGTAAAGTGCATTGAGCAGCAATCACACCAGGGAAGTGCCGTACAAACTGAAGTCGAATAGACACACAGAGGCTTTTCAATAACCACAAACATGTGTGTCAGGGCAGAAACTGCTGAGTCATCTGTTCATTCTTGTTACAATTTCACTTTTTAACCTCCTTGGCTCACGAGTTGTACAACTCCACATGTGGGAACGCATTACACGTGAATGCTTATAGTCGAGGTTCTCAAGTTTTGTTCCCCCTGCTCCATTGTGTAAAAATGTACGACTATCACCACCATCACACCCACATCAGTTATCCGTTTGTTGTTCACAGCTGTGGTGCACCTTCCACCTTCCATCTCTTGTGAAGACAGGGTGTGAGAAGACTCTAAGAGACCTGAAACTGGACTACCTGGACCTCTATCTCATGCACTTCCCTATGGGAACCAAGGTTTGGATACCACTGTCCTTTCATGTCTATAAAAAGAGAGTAAACCAACTCACCTTCAGCCAATGTTTCACATCGCAGACATTTGGAATTTTGAATGACACTTTTCCAGTTTGTGATGTTTCTAGTCAGGTTAATAAGAACTGGCCGTGGGAATTTAGACTTTTTAAGTAGCCTTAAGAAGTGCAGATGTTTCTGAGCCCCTCTTCAACTGGGCTGAGATGTGTGATGCCCGTGACCATAGACTGAATATAAGATGGACAACATTATGGCTCTCCAAAAGTGAAGCCAATGCAAACAAGCAAAGAGCAACGGAAGCAGAACCAGACAATTTGGATCATCAACCAATGTTTTTGATTGGCTTGCGTAGTTGCCAAATTTGTAAAAAGTTAGCCCAGATGTTGCAGCGTGAGTAAGTGATAGAGATAAAGTGGTAGTGTTGCAGTTGCAGAGCAAGAGAGGAGGTCAAGGGGAGGTTAATAAACAGGACTACTCTTGAACTATTGAGAGAATCATTCCTAGAAGAGAAATGTTTGGGATCAGAAGTAAAGACATTTCAGTAACGATCTGCCCACCAGGGGAAATCAACCATACATTAAATCTGCCATGCACATAAGGCAGATGGGTGAGGTTTTATTTGCTAGTCCAGCGAAATAATACAAGTACGACAGTGGTATTTTTTTCCTCCCATAAACCTTTGTTGAGCATAGCGTGCTCTTCTGTGGTCTCACACACCCTGGAGGTTCTCATGCTTTTTAAGCATCTGTGTTGAGAGCTCCAGTCTCTGCTGTTAAATCCCTTTTTCGTTGATGCCAGTTTTCAGTTGTGTTGGTGTTGTCGAATGCTTCCTTGCCTCCAGACCAAAAAGCAGTTTTTTAGGATAGGGCCTTCACCCTTGATCCATGCTTTGTGGTTAAGAAATTACTGTATTGTCTTTGTGATCACTAGAAAAAATGTAGACATTTCCATCCAACTCTAATTGTTTGTTTTTCTTAAATTACAGCCAGGTGATGACCTCTTTCCTTTAGATGAACACGACCAGGTCATTTCTGATGGAAGCAACTTCTTAGACACATGGGAGGTAATTGCAATTGATATATTAAAACATTTCAAATGGATAATTTATGTGATGGAAGATACATCACTAATACCAATGTGCAATGTGTCAATAAGGTGATGGAAGAGCTGGTGGATGCTGGGCTGGTCAAAGCAATCGGCATCTCCAACTTTAACAAAGACCAGATTGAAGCCTTACTCAACAAACCAGGTCTCAAGCACAAGCCCGTCAACAACCAGGTGAGAAACAATATTCCCAATATAAGAAAAATAATACAGGAAAGAACAAATACATGATAAAGCCTTTGAGTGTTTCCCCAGATTGAGTGTCACCCGTACCTGACCCAAGGGAAGTTGATCAACTACTGCCACTCCAAGGGAATCTCAGTGACGGCCTACAGCCCCCTGGGTTCCCCTGGCAGACCCTGGTGAGAGGAAATATGACATATCATACACCATGCATGATATTCACATGTCAACAATAATAACTGGTATCTATCATTTGTGGCTCTTATTTACAAAAGGGCTTCATCTGACGAACCCTCTCTGCTGGAGGACCCGAAGATCAAGGCCATCGCTGAGAAGTACAACAAGACTCCAGCACAGGTAGGAAAGAAAGAAACATTTTTGTGATGTCTCACTACTTTTCTTTTGTCCTGGAAATATAAGACCTTAAAACATTTTCAATTTCGTTAAACTTCTCAAAACTGAGGAAGCCTGTGTAAAATGAGCAAATGCCATCTGCCATTTGAAGCGTTTATAAAAGGCGCTTTATATTAGATATTCATAGATCACATACCAGATAGCAGCAGCACAAGTGTACAGCATGAGTAAGTGAACAAACAGATATTGTATTATGGTCTACAGGGAAAAGAGCCAAATGGCTCTGTCTAAGACTTAGCAATGCTTCATTTAAAAAGTTAAATAACAGGAATCCACAAAGAGAAAGCCACTGCTGTCACATGGTGGATGAACAAGTGTTACAAAACAGACCATGGGGACTTTAACAGTACGGCATTGTGCTTGTATTTGGTGATTCAACAAAAATTTGGTCACACAAAAAAGTTCAAGGATATGACCTAATAATACATGCAATGTTTGTGCACCGTTTTCCAAACCAGGTCCTCATGAGGTTCCACACCCAGAGGAATGTGATTGTTATTGCAAAGTCAGTAAAGCCCCATCGAGTCCACGAAAATTTCCAGGTATATTGTCCGTGAAATTGTACTCATCTAAGCTTTTATGTGCTTTCTCAACTTTTAGCTCCTTTTTTTGGCTGGTTCATTTTATGCAGAACACAAAAAAGGCAACTCTTTGTTTTGCCTGAGTTGCTCAGATGCGCTTTCTCTTTTCAGTTATTTGACTTTGAGTTGAGCGAAGAAGACATGAAGACCATGCTGAGCTTGGACAAGAATTGGAGAGGATTCCCGATGCAATGGTAAGTAAACGGGAAGACGAAAGACAGATTCAATTTTCCTTATCAGTCAAACCATATTAACCTTTTTCTTTTTCCTACAGGGCCTCCAAACACAAAGACTTCCCCCTGAATACAGAATACTAACATACAATACAATGGAACTTCTGCTGTTCATCTGTTCTTATATATCAGATTTTACATGTTGCATTATCAAACTTACATGTTTAGAAAGACAGAGACTGAAGAATGATGTCTATATACTGAGCTTTTTCTGGACTTGAACTGTGTATCTATGATCTCTCTTATTTAACATTCAAATGGCTGTAGGTTATGTTTACATGGGACAAATGGGGAATGGAAGTTGTCGCTACAAAATGTTACATCCGGAGCTACAAAAGTGAAACACAATTTTAATGACTCTTTCACAATTTAAACTTTTTGTGAGTTTAATTACACAAACACGAGCAGTTTGCACAAATTAGGACCGTTTATGTAAGCTACTTCCTGATGATAAAAGCCTGACAGATTGGGTTTAGAAGATAAGATTTGTTTCTGTGAACTTAAACTTGGTTATGAAAATCGATCAGTGTTTGAAATTGATTATGACATGACAGCTGTGGTTAATCAACAATTACTAGTATTCAACTCAATTTTAGTCCAAATTTACACTTGTAATAGTTGCTCATCCTTTGTGATCACATGCATTCTTGTCAGACCCCTGTACTTAGTTCCTGTGTAAAACAATGACTTTCTGTACGCATTTTGCAATATAATAAACTATGAATGGGACAATACCACTACAACAATACACATGAAGTATAAACTGTCTGAGCTCCTCATGAACTTGGGTCTCAAAATCATTCTGCTGATAAACCTTTTCAGACGTGAAATCCAAAGATATGAAGAAGGCAGCAGGAGATTGTCCTGGTCAGAAATGTGTACAACAGCATAATCTCCAGCATGTTAAGGTGAGGGGTGACGTCTGGGTGGAGCGTGCAGGAGGCAGGACATTTGCATATCTACACATCTACAACAGCATCTGTACTTTTTGTCAAAAGCCCTCGAATCTCGTGCTTCCATGCTGACATTTACATGCATGGCACCTTTTTTTCATCTCGAAATATTTACATTGGTGGGCTTCTTCATCATCCCTCACTTGTTAGTGCATCATCAGCACGCCCACTCGCTCACTGTGAATTTCACTGGGACGTTCTCCAGAGTTTTTACCTCGGGCTGCCAGGAGAAACTCTCATAGAGCCCTCCAGACAAAAGTTATTTCCTGCTTTACAGTACAATGATAAATACGTACTTTGTGCTCTGTAAAAGCTAGCTCCATCTAAATGGCTGATATGTACAGTAAGGCTCACAGGATCAGATAGTCTGAAAACACACTGGACTGTATTCATTATGTATTAACCAGCAAAATGATCAAAACTACTTTTAATGTCCCTAAAACGTTAAGCATTTCCCATCACACTACATGTATGTTGGCTATATATGTGTGTGTTTATACCTGTTTGTATGTTGATCACACCACTGCAGGTTCCAGCAGCTCATTGATGCATCTGCTGGCTGAATCTGAAAGAAAACTTTCACCAACTTGTTTTATATTTCTGCTGCAGGACTTTATTTGAAAAAATAAAACAGCTGACAGGGGAAGTGAGAGTGGTTATTTCAAAACAGGGTCAATACACATGGTAACAAAGTGCCACACATGACTCGGACAACAGGGGGAAGTACTTTTGTTATCCACGTTTCGGGAAATCACTTACTCTTTTATCACTTTAAGAATATAACATGTACTGTCTATGCACCCATATATTCGTTCTTTAGTAAGAAGTTAAAATGCTTCACTGATGACAAACGAAAAACAGTCGAACTGATGATAAACTTAGACAAAACACTGTAACTTCCTATTTACAGAAGACAAACTAGAGTTTTAAAGAAAAATGCAGATTAGCTGTACCGCTAACTCTGGCTCTACAAAAAACAACAGAAAAAATAAACGGTTAACTCACATTGTAGGAGTGCAAACATCTTGAGGATAAATTTGTTTTTGGAGAATGGAGACAAGACCAATGATCAAATAAAGTTTTTGTTTCTTGAAACATGTGACATGAAAATAAAAATCTAGTCTGTCAAGGCCGAAGTGACAAGAACCAAATCCCAGCTTTTCACTGCAAACCTGCATTTCTAACAAACCAGCATGTTTCTTTTCAGAATTCAGCATTGAAAGGAAAGTCCTTGTGGTTGGTGCCCCTGTGGAAAAAAAGAGTGAAATAAATTATCCAGAAAATGACAACATTTTGATGTTTATTATCTATCTGGTCAGAATACACAGAATGTCCAGACAATCTCACCACTGCATGGGACAAGCCCTCCAGTTCCTGTTGAAGCCCGATATAGTTTTCATTTCCTCCTCGCTCAGTTCAAAGTCGAAAACCTGAAACGATTTAAACCAAGGTTTTCATGCACGGGCCAACAGTCAGCAGGTAGTGAAGCTCAGCTAATCCCAGAAAATATCTCAACAATCTCTCTGCTAATTACTTGGAAATTCTCCTGAATGCGCTGAGGCGTGACAGACTTGGGGATCGCGATCACGTTCCTCTGGACGTGAAAGCGGATCAGGACCTGATGGGGGGGAAGGAGAGAGGGTATGAACACGTGAATGTGATCATAGGTCTGTGAGTGTCATAACAGTCCTTCATGGTATTTAAATCAACAACACTTCTTCTTGCATCCTTGTTAATGCTTACTATGGACACTGAGAATAAAAGTCAGATTATTGATGAGAATCCTACTTCACAACAAATGGAACTGGTTTGGGTTTTTTAAGTCTACTCATTTGATTTGTACCTGAGCTGTGCTCTTCTTGTACTTTTCTGCAATGGCCTTCAGGACGGGGTTCTCCAGAAGTGGTGGGTCATCTGCTGAAGCCCTGTAATTTGGCAAATGAAGATATCAATTTTATTCAAAGCTAAACTGTTGTCAAACTGGTCTAAAAATGTTACAATAGGTTTTTATAGTGGCAGAAGGTGGCAAATAAAAACAAATGAATATAAATAAAATAGGGAAGTGTCATGATGTAAAAAATTACTTTTACACTTAAACATTAACTGACCAGGATCTGTCAGGGGAGCCCAGCGGACTGTACGCTGTCACTGAGATGCCCTGAGAGTGGCAGTAGTTGATCAGCTTCTCCTGGGTCAGGTATGGGTGGCACTCCACCTAGTGGATCAAACACACACAGCTCTTAAGGAGCAGTACAGAAACAAGGAAGTGATGCCTCATCCACAGTCAGAACAAGAATAACAACAATATCCACTTCATATACTTTATTGCATTATATTGTATTCCTGAAGGAAGCAGGGACTGGGAAAGTATAAAAACATAACAAAATTAAAAACTAGATGAGCTTCAAAACCCCTTAAAATGGATTTCCCACTCACATAACTTTGAGTATGGACAGTATTTAATGAATAGTATTTACTATCATCCAAGTTATATACTGTTACACCGAGTTAATGATTATAACCCCCTGCTACTCGCCAATACATTTGAATGTCCGTGTCAGACATGAAAAAAATGTAAGGAAAATTTTCTCTGAGTTTGACTTTCATATACATAGAACGCAGCAGGAGACTGTCCAAGTCAGAAGTGTTCACAAAAACAGGAAAAATCTCTGCTGCAGTGCAGTATCTTTCTGAATGAATATTTGGTTTGTACCGTGACAAGGAGGATAATGCTGCTGTAACCTAATAAACAACACAACTAGAAAAAACAGGAGATTTATGTTGAACAAAGGGTTTGAGAAACAGCAAGGAAGGTAAGGTCACATCAGCTAATTGGTCTGGCCTGAGGCAACTCTGCTGTGGCCTTTTAAGAACTAACAAGACATTTGTTTCTCTGACCTGACGTCAGAGGACAGATAATGCCATTATGGCCTCTTGCCCTTTAAGAACAGCGATCTTGAAAGGCATCTGTTTTCTTGCTTGTCAGTAGCCAGGACTCAAACATGTCAGTTCTAAAAGAGGCTGCGTATGTCGGCTGTTTCTATAGTTACCAGAACAAATGGTGTTATCTAGCACTGATGTCACTGTGAGGTCCTTTCGTGTACCTGGTTGTTGGCAGGCTTGTATTTGAGGCCGGGCTTGTTGAGAATGGCTTCAATCTGCTGCTTGTTGAAGTTGGAGACACCGATGGCTTTGACCAAACCAGCGTCAACCAGCTCCTCCATCCCCTGAGACAAACAACCATAAAGAAGTTATGTTTACCCAAACTTAACATTTTGCAACTGTGGTCTACGAAAAACAATATCAGCTCTGTAGATGTCATCCAAACTTCTTAAAAATGTCATAGCTATAATTCACTTTGACTCTGATGCTATGGTGAACATCTCACTGGTGTCAGACATATATATAAATAAACTGTGTATAAAGATGGATGACGCATCTCACAAGTTTAGATTACATCAGGAGATGAGATCTTTAGAGAATGAAATCTATATTATTAATCTTTACATGGTACAGACAAAACTTTTCATGCACAATTTCAGGCTGCAAATGTGTGCTTGTGTACTTAGTTGTATATCCTCATTACTTTCACAGGGTAAAAAGATTTGTTCAGTTTTGAAACTAAAATATAAAAGTTAAAGATGAGATTAAAGATGTTTTTCTTTTCTTTTGCTGATCAAGAAGAATAACGGCTGTAAGGAGTGCCAATCAGGTTTTTATCTGATTGAGTGTGTGTTTCTGATTAACTCTCACCTCCCAAGTCCCCAGGAAGTCTGTGTTGTCACTGATCACTTGTCCTGAGCTGTCCAGAGGAAGATCGTCATTGCCGGGCTGTAGCGTGACAAAAGAATAAAAACACCGAGGATTTCATCAGAAAATGAGCAGGAGGTTTACACCCTTAGATGTGACAGTGACCTTCATACTTCAAAAAGGACATTAAACTACCTTGAAACCCATGGGCCAGTGCACAAGGTAGAGGTCGACGTACTCCAGTTTAAGATCACTGAGGGTTTTCTCACAAGCCTGCCTCACCACGGACTTCTCATGGAAAGTGCACCACAGCTGTGATGTGAAAGGCCGGAGCATGCATGGTCAGGGATGCAGTTTCAAAACCCCGACATATAAATGGATTATTTGAATGTGTTTTATGCATCAACAACTCACTTTGCTAACGATGAAAAGATCCTCTCTCTTCACTACGCCATCCTTGATCATGGCCTGAACACCCTCTCCCACCTCTGCCTCGTTGTGGTAGACGAACGCTGCATCGATGTGCCTGTATCCTGCTTTGATGGCAGCTTTCACTGCTTCTGTCACCTGACCAGGGGCAGACTGAAACAACAGGACTGGTGAGTTCAAAGTAAACATGTATGCAACTTTACAGGCTGGTTACATGGTTTGCATGATTGTGCAACACATGTAACTCCCTTAAGGAACCACAACCTACCACAGTGATGTTTTAATAGTCTATAATATAATCATGTTTGGAACTGTAAATGTGTATTTTTACAATTAAACCAAAGACTCAAACACTGTTTCGTGCAAAAGTAGACATCATACACAGGGGACTTTAATGCAACACAAGGGTGAATGCACTTCAGTTACGTTTAATCACTGGTATTAAGATTAAGGTATAAACTATTACTGATGGTTGCTTTGGATACAATAATTTGGCCGAGACAATGAAAAGTTGAAAAGATATTTTGCATGATTGTGCTGCACATACAGATGGTGACATGCTTGAGATTGGAAAGGGACTCTGTGATTTTGTTTCTCAGCTCAGAACCGGGGCTAATTTAATTGAAGGAGGACATGTTTAGTTTAGACTTGATTCTTGTCCCCGGGCTGATGTGTCCTCTGCACTAGACACAGTTTCATTACCAAACAGCGAATGACAGATGCAGCACCAGGATTAGCTCCACTTCATATTGTGTTTCAGGGCAGATATACACTATAAATTCCCACTGTAGCATGCCTGCATGGTACACTTTACCATCTATAACATTACATACAAACTTCCATCGTTTGTTTTAAACATTTTTGTCCGCTCCAAGCTCCTGTACCGTAACACCAGCTGTAGACGCGCATCAAGCTTCAAAATGTAACAAGCACGTGTGTATGTATATATACGTGTGTATGTATGTATGTGTGTGTATATGTGTATGTATGTATATATATATATATATATATATATATATATATATATATATATATATATATATATATATATATATAAACTAATCGCTTATCTATTGTAAAGCAGGAAAAAGACTCGTGATATTTCAAGAAACTTTAGTCATGTTGCAAAAACACATTAAGTTCCAGTCATTGTTAATCACTCTTAAGTTAAAGCTCCACCACTCGTTACGTGTCAAATTGACGACTCATTCGCATTGTTTCTGCTGCGCGTCCAGCTAACTAGCTTACAAGCTAACCAGCGAACGAGATTAACTCATTGAAACCAGTTCGAGCGTTCAATTAAAACATTAATACGCACCTTCCATGTTCCGAGCCCGACTGTGGGCATTCGTGCACCGGTGCTGAGGGTCACTGTCTCGGCCATTTCTCCAGAGGACGAGCAGAGACTGGGAACCCGCGGTCTAGCGCTCAGGACAGCCCATGTAACAGCATCTTGAAGCTTGATGCGCGTCTACAGCTGGTGTTACGGTACAGGAGCTTGGAGAGGACAATAATGTTTAAAACAAACGATGGACGTTTAATGTCACTTATTATGGACGAGTGATAAAGTAGGTGAAGCGAAATTAAAGGTAAATTCAGCTTAATTATGGCGTTCATTACTTCTTCATATTAAATATTACTTCTTGAGAGGTGACACCTCACCCCCACCTTCAGTACTTCAAGTTGCAGGTACTTATACTGAAGCAATCGTGATAAAATAGAGGGAAAGTCAGCTACTTTTTGAATATGACATTCATATCTTGCTCTTATTAAATATTATTTTAAAAATCCTTCAGCGGAAACAGCGGCGACTTTTCATGTCACATTGTAATTATTGTAATTATCTGGTTTAAAAAGTAATGATGCATCTTGAAAATCTGCTTAAAGAATGTAGATCGGTCAATCCCTTAAGAAACTGACTCAGACAACCACCGTGACGTATTATAGTCTATGATACAACCATGTTTTGAACTGTAAATGTGTATTTTCACAATTAAACCAAAGAAACTGGATTTTAAGGTTTAATGGAGTCAGACTGAAACACCAGTAAATCCTAAAAACAAATATGGAGCTTGATCCCACAACACAGTACATGGAGGGACCTATTAACTGTCTTATGTGGATGTAATGTGATGTTACACATATGGACCAATTGTTAATATTGTCTTAAATGTTGTATTAAGGGTTTGGGAATCAATCAATCCAATATATTGTTTACCATATGTTTCGCATAAAAACTTCACTATGATAGTTGCTATGGATCCAATCATTTGGCCAAGACAGTAAAAAGTTGAAAAGACATTTGTATGTCCCTGGCAAAGAAAATGTTAATAGTATGGCTGGTTTAAGGCTGGGTGATGTTTAAAATCTATAACGAATAAATGAGAAAACACATTAATAGTAGAAATGCAGTTATCAAAATGATTAAAGCCAAAAACTTGGTTCCCACTTGTTTGAACAACTGAACTTCAGCAGCCGAAAACATTTTGTTAGTTCTGCCAATGAACCACAAGAGGGCACCATTACCACACTTTCCAGCCTCTTCAAATCTCAGAAATGAGACTCTGAGAAGAAACATAATCACATACATGATCTATTTGACCAGTATTTACAGTGACTTCAATAAAAGATGAATGAATTATTTCACTTGAGCCTCCTAAAATCCACATTCAATATTTTCCTTTCCGTTATTCATAGTGGGAAAAAAAATGCTTTTTGAACAAACACCAAGTCATTGTCCAGCATTTGGTGTGAAATGTAGGGGATTAAATTCCTTTATTTAATTAGTAATTGCTACTTTCCCTCATAACTAATAATTATAAAGGTAACCTTAAACCCCAAGAGACAAGGTTTTCTCAATTTTGTCAAATCAGATAAAACCTCACAGACCTTTAACTGAGCCGTTCAACACTCAGTTAAGAGAGGGAGGGGAAAGCGATGGGAAAAAAAGAAAACACACAAAAGGAGAAAAGTAACTGGAGCCAGCAGCCACTGTGTGTACCTCACAATGGCTCCTGCTAAAGTTTGTGTCTCTTCTGATCTTCTCCCAGCTGGACGTCTGCTTTTCAGGGCCCCGTCTCGCTCTGATCTAACTTCAGACACTGAAGACCCCTTTTTTTTTTTTGCCCGCAAACTGTCAAAGTATCCCAGGAATCAAATGCTGTTGCAGGCTGTCATGATCAAAGGCCCGCAGGTAAACCAGACGCAAGACACAGCGACACACAATCGGCACCTTGAAAAAGACAAGAAATGGGGGTGAGGGCATTCCAGAGGATCTTATTTCGTGACTGCTGGTGTAGTTACGAGGTTTCACTGAGCGGCGAGCATCGACGAGAACAAGGGAGAGAGAGAGAGAGACGACCATTTGAAGATACAACAGAGGCCCAGAGAAAAACCATGTGGCACTCAAGGAAACTTCTGGACAAAAAGTGACAGTGTAGCTGAGTGTTCTTCCAGTTTTTCTCAAAGAACTGGAGAATAAAAAGGTGGAAACATGCGACATACAGAGAGGATGATGGTGTGACAAATAAATACATAGATCACAATGAGCTGCTGTCTCCTCTTCCTATTATAATGAATACTCCATCCATTCACAGGCCGCACATCAGACCAGAGCCCTGACCTGTCCCGCCGAGATCAAACACCTCATTTCATTTCACGGCCTCCGCTCTGTTCTCCCCATTTCTCTCCCTCCACCTCTCCTACGCCTTCTTCTTCTCCCTTTCTCGCCAGAGCGCCCCGGGTCACAATCTCCACCCATAAATCTAATGTCGAGTGTCAGCTCCCGCAGAGTTCACTCACACACTCCGCATTCTGCACATTCCGTCTGCTGAACAATAAGAAGATCAGGGAGAGAAATCCCTACGTCATGAGTATAAAGCGTGGATGTTCGTCAAGTGCAGAAAGGGAGGGAAGGAACGCTCGGCTGATTTGAGCCCAGGAGATATCGAGGAAAAACTATTTTTTAAAAACCTACCATAATCCCACCAACATCTGGATTAGGTAGACAGTCTAAATTGATTTAAAGCTAAATTAAGATGTTTATTCATTAGTCTATTGGCAACAGTTATCTGCAGCAACTTTCACTTGATCTAGACTCGAAAATGCTAATATTTGAAAGTTTCGTGATGATACATTTAATATTTGCGGTATTTAGACTGAAATTTCTCCTTTGATTCCAAGAGGACATGCTGCGAATCTTTACCTCTGCCAAAGAGGTGATGTTTTCATTGCCGTTCATCTCTCTTTGTTATTTAGAAGGATTAGATAATCCTGATTTCCCAGGAAATCATACATGGATCTCAATGACAAAAATCCAGCACATTTAAGGAACTAATATCTATGAGTGTGTGAAATTTGGTGCAATTGATTCAATTTAAAGAGACTGTTGGTCCTTGGCGGAGTTATGCGCTCTTCATCTTATCTTATTTCAAGAGAAGCATCACTACATACCCAACAGCAGCCAACACTGATGGAAAACCCATCTAATTTGGTGCAACAGAGGACAGTGGCTTGGGTGTTGGTGCGTCAATGGCCTCATAGAGTGAGAAATTGTGTTTAGGACTTTGCTTGTGCGAACAAGAGAAGCCAAGAGAAGCTGCTGCTGCCTCGACCAGAATAGTTCAGACAATTTATTAAGTTAATGTCAGGGAATGTAGTGTATTTGCGAAAGGGCCTCTGTGCTACCTTAACCCTATAGCCTTCCTAATGTTCCCATTCCAATCCCAGAAGTGTTTATTCTGTCTTGGTGACGGTGTTACCTTTAAAGCTTCAGTGTGTAGAATTTAGTGACATCTAGTAGTGAAGTTGCATGTTGCAGCTGAATACCCCTCACCTCACCCACCTCACCCACCTCACCCACCTCACCCACCTCACTAGTGAAATCATCACCAGAGTTATTTTTCAATTTGTGCCAATAGATTCTTTTCTCCTAAATCTTACACACTGAACCTTTAAATATCTTTAGGTTTTTTTCTACTGATGGGTTTTGTACAGGAATGCCTTTTCCTCGAGGGGTCGATAGAGTTTACCATTTCTGTTGGTGGTAGGAATGATGAACAATGAGAGGGGGATTTTCTCAGTTAGCTGTGAAGATATAAATGTAAACAAATAGTTTCTCATGAACTCACAAATCAAACATATTTCCTGTAAACATGAAAAATAAAGATTTCAGAAATCACACAATGTGCCCATGCCACACACCCTTACACACACACACACACACACACACACACACACACACACACACACACAGCATATGTGCATAAAAATACACAATCGCTGCCTCTCCAGCCAACCAAGAAATCCCTACCATGCACACTAACAAGGAGAGGAACTTGGAGCAACAGAGCCACAGTGTGTGTGTGTGTTAATCACAGTGTCAGGCACGCTCCCTTTCAACCCCACCCCCCTCAACACAAGAACAGGAGGCAGA